CGTCCAGCTTGTGCTGGTCCCAATATCCCAGGAATCTGAAACCCTCCCCCTCCCACCATTTCTCTGGCCATCTATTAATCTGATGTACCCTGCTCTCTCTACTCTGACTAGCAGGTAGCATGGGTAGAAATTCTGAGATCACTAGCTTTGATGTCCTACTTTTTAACTTGCTTCCTAAATGCCTATATTCTGCTTTTGGGACCTTGTCCCTTTTTAACCCATTACATTGGTATTGATATGTGCCATGACCACTGGCTGTTCATCCTCCCACTCCAGGATGTCCTGTAGCTGGCTTGAAGTGCCCATTGGCATGTCCTGGAGTCTTGTTTGTGGCCATGGAAACCTCTATCTATTCCCATTCTGAAACCCCCATTACTATAGCCTTCCCATACTACTTCCTCTCCAGTGTGGTAGATTCTGCCATAGTGCAAAAAATTTGGTTGTTCTTACTTTTCTCTTAGAGATCATTCTCCTTAACAGTATCCAAAATGGCATATTTGTTTTGCAGGGAATGGCCACAGGATTCCTGTACTACCTGTCTAGTTGTCTTATTCTGCCTGGTGGACATGCATTCCTTCCCTGCCCATGGAGTCTGAGCCTGTGGAGTGATCACCTCCCTTCGTGTTATCCAACATGCACACAGCCTCTCATGCTCCAGTTCTATTCAATCCCATTTCAAAACTCGAGCTTCCAGGAGCTGCAGCTGGAAACACTTCTGCACATGCTCTGGTCCTGGGCACTAGAACTGCGCCTGACTTCCAACATACAGCAGGAAGAATGTGCAATGTTTATTGTTACATGGAAGGAGAACTATGTGGGGATGGGTGAGAAGAGGAAAATGCAAAGAAATAAAACTAATAAGGACACGATATTAAATGTGAAAATGGAACATCTTAGCCAGCATCTACTGCCTGTAGAGGAAAATAGGTTTGACTCTGGGTTCAAGTAAAATGGCTCATTGAAGTGAAGATCATAATTTTATAATATTGTCATTCAATGGCCAAAGCTTACAACTATGTACAAACTTGAGCAGTTCTTTCAAAATATTGTAGTTGTACAATCCATCATTTCAGGAGTATTGTTAATGCTGTAGAGGGGGTCCTTCACTACAGTCTGATTAAAAGGTAATATAAATACGCATTTTGTCTAGATTGCATATCGGATATTGAGGGTGTTTTGACATTTGCTTGGAAGCTAAAAGTGGTGATGTTGGAGAGAGAATGAGCTGAGCAGTCAGTGACAGCTTAGGGACAGTGAGTTGGTTAGAGACAAGATAGGTTTGGTGAAATAGTTTCTAAATCTTTTGCTCCTGAACATGAGATTATATTTGTTACGCACAAAGCATAGCATACAATTGGAGGTTGCAATGTACATGCAAAATACTGCCTAACTTCTGCTTAAATGATAGGGTATGCTGGAAGAGGTCAAGGTAGGGCTTATCTATATTTTATAGACTGACATTGTTCATTTAGCATCCTTGTCTTTAACCTATATATCCCACTACCTCACCCAAGTGATTATATCAAGCTTCTACATTACTGCATCTGCTATTTCTTCTTATAGTATTGAGAGATGGGAAATAAACTTGGTTAGGGAAGATATTAAACCAAACAAAAATGCTTTTGCAACTTTTTTTTTCCCCATTCTCATCATTGAAAACCAAAAACCACAATTTTAATCATTCCTCACCTTTTTGTTCCATATTTTTCCTTAAATGAAAACTGAAAACCTATTTCAGCTTTTAACACACTGACACCGAAATCTCCTGAAATGGGATAATGTTCTTGTAATTATTTGATTTAGTTCATTGAGCTGCCTATAATAATCACTATGCTTCGAAACTTGACTACTATCTTGGAGACCAATGAGAATTTTCAAAAAAGGTTACCTAGTTTAATGCAATTAGCTTCCATTCCTGTTCTGCTCTTCTGATTGTGTATGTTCCATTTAGGACTTCTTCATACTAACTTTCATGTCCTTCAAAATTGCACCCATTGCTTGCCTTTAACTTTGGCACTTGCTGAAAATATGGTACATCTCTAATTTTTCCCAGCTCCAATCAAACATTATCTCTGCTTCTCCTTTCACAGATACCACCAGATCTGCGCATCTTGAGTAACCTTTTTTTATTCTCTTATGTTGCATAAGAACATGTGAAATCGGAGTAGACCATATGGCCCATTGATCCTGCTTCTCCATTCAATATGATCATGGCAAATTTGACTTCAATTCCATTTCCCTGATCACTCTCCATATCTTTTCATTCCCTGAGACCTAAGCAAGGTGAATATATTTAATGACAAGATGGACAAGAATGGAAGATCCACAACTCTTTGTAGTTGAGTTTTTCAAAATTTCAGAACCCTTTGAGAAAATTTCACTGCATCTCATTCCTAAATGATTTGCCTCCTGATTCAGAAGTTGTGGTCCCATGTTATAATTTTCACCAGCTAGATTTAAAAAAAAACCCTCTCATTCAATCTAATGAATCATCACGTTACTGCTTCCAATGCAAATAGATCTTTCCTTAAATACGGAGATCAAAACTGCACACTTTATTCTGGATTTTGATCGCATAAAGGCCCTGTACAATTGAAGCAAAACCTTTTTTTTTCTTGTATTTCAAACCCCTTGCAACAAGCTTGCCCATAGTACTGTCACTGTCGGAAATTGCATCCTCTCTCATTGAGTCTTCTTCACGCTTCTCCGATATCTATTGTCCTCATTTGTGTCAAACATTACTTCTCCCAGTGCAACCATCGTATCAATTTCAATGACCTTGCATTCTCTGCATTATTGTAGTCTGTGTTTTGCCAAAATATTGCCTGCAGCTCACCTGATTTTTATTTTAACATGCTATCCTTCTGATATTACCCATGAACATTGGGGCACGTGCCACACATTTCGTGATTCTGCCTATTTTGACCCTGGTGGACAATACCACAGTGCAGCAAATAATGGGATCATCCAAAAACAACTCCAGATTAATTTTGCTAGACCAGAGTAACTTATTCTGACAGTGGTATTTAAAAATTCTAGCAAGATTCATTTCTTTCTTTTGATTTCTTGCTTCACTCTGAATAGTGCATACATTAGTTGCATTCTTTGGGTGTGGGCAACACTGGAAAGTCCAGTTTTTATTGTTTATTTCCAGTTGCCACAACTTAGTGTCTTGATCAGCTATTTTGGAGGGCATTGATGTGGGTGTGGAGTCACATATATGCCAGATTAGGCAAGGACAGTTGATTTCCTCCTCAAAAGGACCTTGAGTGAGCTAGCTAAGTTTTTACAACAATCAGTGATCTCATGGACACCATTACTGAGATCAACTTTATCAATTAGCTGAATTTAAATTCCATCATCTGCCATAGTGGGGTTTGAATCCAGTTCTCTATAGCAATAGACTTGTTTACTGGTCCGTTAATATTAACATTACTCCATCATCTACCATTTTGACTGACTTGAGCCACAACTTCTAAACCTTTCTCTAAAATTGTTTCTGTCTGCTTTCTGGCTTTGCTGTACAAACATAAGAATTGGGACTAAGAATAGGGTGTTCAGCCTCTTGAGCCTGCACTACTATTTGATTAGATCATGCCTGATCTGATCGTGGTGTGAACTTCATTTTTCTGCCCTTCCCCAACAACCGTTGTTGGTCAGGAATCTACCTACTTCTGGTTTAAGAATATTGAATGATCCCGTCTATCTCGCTCGGGAAGATCATTCCTAAAGACTGTTGACCCTCTGAAGAAAAAAAGTCCTGCATGTTTAAAAAGCTTCTCATCATGTTTTGTTATAGTAAAATTACAATATAAACGCAAGCTGTTACTGTCTGCCGAGGCTGCAGCACAAGCTCCAATTGTTTGGCCCCAGCTCCAACTTTGATCATTGAAGCGTAAAAAATAGAAACAAGAGTAGGCCATTCAGCCCTTTGAGCCTCTTGCAACGTTCAATGTAATCATCCAACGCAGTACCCTGATCCTGCTTTCTCTCCATATCTTTTGATCCCTTTAGCTTTAAGAACTGTATCTCATTCCTTGAAAGCATTCAATGTTTTGACCTCAGTCACTTTCTGAAGCAGAGAGTTCCAAAGACTTGCCACTCTGTGTGAAGCAATTTCTCCTCATTTCAGTCCTAAATGATCTACATCATATCATTAAACTGAGACCCCTATTTCTAGATTCCCTGGTCACTTGTGTTTGCTGACTTAAACTAACTCAATGCTTTACAATTTAAAACCTGTTCACATATCCATCAATATTTTCATTGCAACCTATTTGTAATTTGCTCCTTAAAATAATGTATTGTGCCTGCCAAAATTATGAAATATAAACAAATTTTCTTGGAGAATGAAACAGAGCTAATGTTTCGATTCCAATTGACTACTTTAAAGTAAGTTCACAGTATACAGATGTTGCCATACGGCTTAATTTTTCCATCCTGTGTAAACCAGTTTGATCCCGGCACCAAAAATCCCTCAACTACACTACAAGCCCTTTTCCTTTACCAAGTCTTATCTATTTTTTTTCCAATTTCCCCCAAATTCACTTCAGATTTTAGCATTCCACTGCCTTTTGCCTTATTTTTTCTATACTTTGCCTTTCTGCTCCCTCTCTACTGTATTTCCTCCTTTCTTGCCCACTTTTCATTCTCTTTCCCTATAGCTTTTCCCTTTGGTCAGAGTATTTTTATTTGATGCTAGATATTAGAAATGTGATAGGTTTAGGTGAGCAAATGTTTTAATATTTTTAATCACCTCTTGTTATTCAGGATTGGTTCTCACCTCCAAGTGAAGTGTTTCATGACATTGAATTCCTATTTGATCTTGCTACAAATGTAGCATAGAAATCGTTGCATCAGATTACCTGCTTAGTTTGCATTTTGTCATACTTTTGAAGTAAACTTTGCAGGTTAATTATTCTTTTGGAACTGCCATAACATTCAAAACAATGACGTATTAGCAAATTAGTTTACCCTTAATATTGTAATTGCTGTTCCAGATACATGCTTGGTCTTTCAGCTGTTCCTGCTGTTGTCCAGTTCGTGGGATTCCTTTTCCTTCCAGAAAGTCCACGGTGGTTGGTACAAAAAGGAAAAACTCAGAAAGCTCGCAGAGTCTTAAGTCAGATTCGTGGAACTCAAAATATTGATGAAGAGTATGAGTGCATCAAAAATAGCATTGAGGAGGAGGAAAGAGAAACAGTAGGAGGTAAGCTTCTGAATGTCCTGGCAATAAAAATATTTGACTGTCATTATTTTTTGCTTAGCTTTGTAAACGACAAAGCCTGTTGTTTTGTTTACTTTGTCAACTTTAGCTCACTTCAATTATAAGCTCACTTCAATTATAAGCTCACTTTTGTACTATAAGTTTCACTGCATCATCCGTTGGTATTAGAAAATGAATGTCTTGGCTTGTATTAGGCATATTCAAAAAAAAAAGTGCCAGATCTCCTAAAGACCATTGGATGAAATTAACTACAGGATGTGTACTTGAAGTCTTTCAGCTTAATTTTTAAGAATCCGTTAACTCTTCACGTTCAATTTTTTTTATCTGTCCAATGTGGTCAGTGATGTGTTTTTTGCACTTTTCTTTTCCAGATGTCCTTTTGATAATAAGGTAGACCACTACAGAACTGGTTTGTTTGATTTGATGAAATGGCCTGTAGTAAATTTATTGAAGATTCTTACATTTTGTACAATCATCATCTTTATTTAGCTGGTTTTTCTAAAAGAAATTATTCAATCAGTACACAAGCCAAAGCAAATTTTTCTTCAAATTCAAAAACAAAGTATTGCAAATAATATCCTCATGCCATTTCTACCATATTGAAGATGGTGCCACCATAAACACTTTTCCCCATGCCCTTTCCTTTCAAAACGAAGTGTATGCTTTGTGAAACCCTGGTCCAGTTCTCGGTTGCCTTCAACACTTTCACTTTCTACAGCAAGTTTCCATGTAAGCAGGGGAGATTCTTTTAACCTTCTTCTCCCTTTTGACTATCTGATGCTCAGAGACTCCTTTCAAGTGGAATAGTGATTTGTTTGCACTTTCAGTTTATTGTAATTGTTGCTCACTATTTTGTCACCTTTGCAATGAGGTTCAAATGCAAACTGGGTAGCCATCCTGTAGAAGATCTCTAGTCAAGCATGACTGCAGACTTCTCGTTGCTTGTCATTTTCAGTTCCCCACCTTGCTCTCTCTGACATTTGTCCCTGGACTGCTCCAATATTCCAATGAATACACTGCCAATACTTCATGGCTGTAAAGCTACTGAGTATTTACAGCATTTTCTAATTTTTATCAATGGGCTTTTCCTCCATTATCTTTTTATTCCTTTCTCATGATGTTCCATAATTATTACAGTGGTTTTGCATCTTTATTTAAGGGGTAATGCTTTCAGAAACTGAGGCAATGAGTGTCAACAAATGGTGTCAACATTGTTTGAAATGAACATAAATGATAAATAAGCAAATAAAGGGGAATCCACACTACGGATCTGATCAATGAATATTAGAGAAGGCTGTTGGTTCTTTCTAACGAAACTTCAAACACTAATCTAAGGATATGTGAGATACTCTATTTGATGTTTTGTTCACTTACAGTTTGGAAGTTGTAGACGCATGACATGAAAGTTGAGAAGAGGGATCCTGTTGTCATTAGGGAGAATGAAGGCCAAGATAGTATAGCTGACCTAACCAGGAAAAGTATTTGCTTGTTATTTTAGTGGTTAATGTGCTAACCAAAGAAGAGTTAGAGAATCAGAAATCTTTATGAAAAATAGAAAACTTGCTTTCATAATTAATGACCATAAAAGTATCTTAAAACACCTTCTTGTGTTGTTTTTGTAATGGATTTTTATGACATATTTTCATTTACAGGCTTTTAAAATAAAATGGTTTCTGTAATGATGTCGTCTCTGCAGTGAGGACCAGAGTCATTTGGAGTATCACTATTTGTAGGAGTCACCATTGAAGTTTAAAAGCTGCTGGTGAAACAGGACTGGGCTATTAATATAGAGCTAATAAGGGCTGGAGTAGGTGAAATTCTAAACGTAATAAAGCACAAAAGATATGAAATGTAGGTAGGCAATAGATGAGGAGGAGTAAAACACAAATGCAGTGAGTGGAGGGATGGGACTGGTAGATAAAGGGCTTGCTCAATTATTTTTGGAGCAACAAATAGAGATTTGTTAATGTCACATGTTTCTCAGTTTCTCAGTGTGTCCAATAAAATCACACTTTAGATATTCCAACTGGGGAATTCACTGTGAATTTAAAAATGCAAGGCTTAATTACTTCAATCAAGCACATTATCAACATCATCCATTCACTAGCAATGTGGTATATCCTGAGTTGTACCAGCAGATGAAATCCTGGGTACTGGTTGAGCACAGTAGGCATGTACTTGATTCTCCGAACTGAGATGGCAGATTGATGCACCTGAAACATAAAACGGATTGTAATTCAACATATTTTATTCTGATAATTGGTGTTTAACAACAAGCAACCCTCAATCTCCAAGTACCTTCCAGACCTACCAGGGTGAGCCAGGACTTTCTCTGTGAGAACCCATTTAAAGATGGGTTGAGGAAAGCTTTTCTTTGAATAGACCCTACAAACCTGGCTGCCTGTACTAATAAATCAAATGTGTTTATGAGAAAACAAGTTGAAAACGCTTTGCACAGTGTGAATTGCCATATCTTTCCACGTGCTCACTTTGAGCACAGTTGCAACAGAACATAATCTCCCAATCCCATTTGGTTGTGGGTACATTTATGATGCAGAGGACACATAATATTTTTAGCCAGAGATGACTTGTTTGTACTGTGATGGCTTAGTGCTAAAGGCTATTTTCTAACTACAGTCACAACGTAACTGGAAAGAATGTGCTGATAATTTTGCCCCATTGTTCCACAAGCTGTCACAGAATGAACTACTCAGCACAAAAGTAATTCTACCTGTTTACTTGGTAACAGTAAAAAAACTTTTTTGTTTTATTATAACATGCACAACTTTACGGAAAGCAATAAAAAGGATTTCTAATCTATGCAACTTAAACTGTACCCCTTTAAAACCCTCAAATGTATACATGCTCAATCGCATGAAAAAAGACAGATACGATGAGTGAAAAACAATATGGACAGAGTAACTAGAATTCTGAGGATCAGACAACCAGACTACAATGTAGAAAATTGTTTTCTCTTGGACCTTTTGATTTTTATAATGGTGACATATAGTTGTCATTTGTTCTCCATTTGGATGGTTGATAGCTGGACCATGGTCTTCCTTGTTTTAGAATTCTTTGAATCTTTCTTGGTTTACACGCATGCGTGCCCTACACATATGCATCTTTTCTGTCTGCACGTTCTTGATGTTTCTCCTCCTGTGCTATCTTTGGCACTTTCAAATTTTTAACTCTCTGAAGCTCAACTGATAAGAAGCCTGTTGACAGGTAGAATCGTTAATTTGGAAGACTCTTGGTGCTGTTCAGTCTCAAATTCTCCCGTTTCAGAATGCAACAATGTATCACACAGTCAACAATATTTCAGTTCTTTGGTTTTGAAGTTGCAAAAAATCCTGATATTCTGGTTATAACAGTCCAAATGAAAAATGTAGTCTCTTAATATTATCTTGCTGTGAATATCATATTGCTAGCTCACCAAATTGCCAAAACTTGAAAACATTCATTGCCAAGGTACAGTGGAGCCTGTGGGTGCATTCGGTTTAACAAAATCTCAATTTGTATAGAAAGTTGTGTATTTCTTTAAAATTCCAATAACTACAGATTAGTGGGATCTTTACTGCATCGTGTTAACTACTTTGAGTTCTGAGCCATGTTACAGTAACCAATTTATCCAGCTCGTTTACTTTACAGTGATAGTAATACACTATAACTGATCAATGACAGTGCAAAGTTTTTTTTTGGTTGCAGTTTGGAACATGCTCTATTTAAATAGTGCAGTACTGTAGCACCAGTTATTAATAGCAAACAGTTACACATTCAACTCTCGGATGCATTTAATTCTGATGTAGTTGTCATGGTGATGAGCCATGAAGGTTTCTCAAAAGTCGTTGACTTCTAGTCTTTCAAACTGTATAGCTGGAGACTGTCAGCTCAAATCAATGTTAGCATAAGATGGGTTTAGATAAGTGATGCTCTTACAGTAAATATTTTGTGAAGCCAAGAAAATGTATCAAGTACCAAAGACTAATTCCATAATTATTCTATTGACTTTGATCCAGGTGTACATTTTTTTAATGTAGCTGTTAGGTTTTAGATATTTTCTGGAATTCATTGTCACTAGAACATTACTATGTACACTTCATCTTTCCCAGTTTCTGGTTCTAGAACTGATGATATCTAGAGACTGTGTGTGTGTAACAGGAAACACTTCCTCTATTCACTGTCTTTTGGAATGATCTCCCAACGTGGATGACCTCTTGAAATGATTACTCTGACCCTATCTCGGGTCCAGAATTGCATGAGATTAATAGGAGAGAATATTTAATACGGCTGGCCTCTCTCCCAAAGTATCATGAATACTTTGAAACAAATCAGGTGTCCACTAGCTTACATCAAAAACCTACAAACTGCCTTATACAGGGCACATCATGTTTCATTTACAATATATTATTCTGATTACCATTTAACGTGCAGTTTACAGTATATTGGAATTTAGTTTCTCCCTTATAGAACAGTTAATTTTTTAGAAATTTGACTGTTTTATGGCACTGGAACCAGATAACCAACAAAGCAAGATATTTAGCCTGCGTTAAATCTGAGCTAAAAATGGACAGTACTGTGTATAGTGCAGTAAATCTAATTTTTTTCTCCTCCACCATGGAACAAAGATTGTTTGACCAATATTTAGTTTTACCTAAGCCAAAATTGCCTCAAAATATTTCAGGTCTGACAAGCCTTGTTTTGGTTTTGGAGCCAGTCAGTTTCTGTGCTTCATGTTTAGCTGGGAAATGGGAAACGTTTGACACCTACTGTTGTACAACTTCAAGATCTGTCTAATGTTTTAGTATTTTGTTAATTGTTTGCTTGATCCCACTTTTTAAATCCATTCTGTGCACTAAGATTTTCACTGAATTAAATGTATGAGAAGAACAGTTTCAAAATAATTTTATTTTGACAAGTTGTTGACAAATTAATCTTGTTTTTGTGGAATGTCGCAAATGGCTGCTTACTATAGTCTAATAGAATATGAATATACATTGTAATGAAGAAAGGTGGGGTGGGGAGAGATCAAAATTTAATCTGATTCCCATGTCATTTGACTCCAGTCCATTTGCCACTTGAAATTCTCATTGTGGCAATATTGCTTTGGAAAGTTGCTGAATGATTGAAAAGTCAGAACAATTTAAGTTTTCAGATATTTGGGGTAACTACAAAACAACCAAATCAACCTACACTGTATTTTGATAGTTTGAGCCTTAATTAACTTTTGACTGATAAGTGTTCATTTGGAAGTTTCTCGTTTTCATTGCAACTGAGAAATACAAAAAAGTAAACACCTGAACCACACCTGTCATAATGCCTTCCATTATATTGTGAATCTTTTGGCACACTTCCCAGATAGTAACTGAAGACAACCAATGAAAAGCAAAACTGTGTAAGCTGGAAATCTGAAATACAAACGAAAAATGCTGGACGAACTGAACAGGGCAGGCAGCATCTGTGGACATGAAAACATTAGAGTTAGGAGCAAAAGTAGGCCATTCGGCACTTCAGACCTGTTCTGCCATTCAATGAAACCATGACGGATCTGGTTCCTTGTTTATCCAAGATTCATCAAGGACAATCTTGAGTAAGTTCTGTGACCATGACTGTACTGTTTTCTAGGGATGATGATTCCACAGACTCCTGCACCTCTAGGAGGAAAAATAAACCCTCCTCACCTCTATCTTTGAAAGTGAGGACTCTTTTATTATAAAATCTGTCTTCTCGTTCTGATCGCTCTTTCTGTCTCAAAATCAGAACTATCCTCTCAGAATCCACCCTGTCAAGTTCCCTCAGGATCTTGCATGGTTCAGTATGACCACCTCTCATTCTTGTAAAGTCCGATGGATGAAGGCCCAACCTGCTGACGACATCAGATGATAAAATCCCTGAAGCAGAGCTTTGCTATATAATGTCAATGGCAGTTTTTCTTGTACAATTGATCATTTCAGGAGCAAAGTTACGATAAAACATGATTAAATATTTTCCAGAAGTGCTACAATGGCAAAAACATTTTTAGCTTTAAACTTTTTAATTGATTTCTGTGATCTGTTTAAACATTTGATTTGATGCCATGATAAATCTGTTACAAGAGGCCTAATGTAACCAAGAAGATGAAATATATTCATGTTAGCAGACAATGTGTCAGAAAAATTAAAACTAGACTGGAGGGATTTATAAATTCAGCACTTGCAAGTCAAATAATTTTTCATGATAGTTTTAAAGACGGTACCTTGTCACATTAAACATATTGAGATTCTAGCCTTATTGTCATGAATTTGCTTTTCTATCAGAGTCCATAAGATCCTGGCTTCAGCTGATATTGAAGTGATCAATACCCTTTCCTTCCCAGTGTTGCAGAAGTTCTAAAGATGAATAATTTGTCAGTGACTAAACTTAATTGGCAAAATTATAAGTGGATTTACTATCGTTTAGATTGTGTTGTTAAAAAAAAACGAAGTTTTCTTACTCTGAAAACAATTGCAACTAAGAAAAACTGAATAGGACGAAGTCTTATAAACAAAGTGCCAAATTGGCCACAAAGTCTTGTAGCTCAATTTGAAAGCAAAAGGAGAAGAGAGAATACACAAATGGACAGATTTCAGGAAAGGGGCAAAGATTCTGTGTTCAGCAGACAATGGCTTGGACTTGTGGTAATAGCAATAGTGAGGTTTCCACTTCTACTTGATAAAACTGATGCAATTTCTCACATCTCCATGTCCATTTAAATATGGAGGGACAATTTGCAAGACAATGGAAGAAAGCAGCGGAGTGAGATTAATTGCAAAGTTCGTCAAGTTGCTAAAGTGCACAATGAGCTCCTATCCTGTATCATCAGTTCTCGAATTCTTTTTATAAGTTCAGAAATTGCTGTCAAAGATATCCTGCTCTTCCAAACATTGTGCGGTGCAGTTGAGGTATTTGCTATTAAAAAAACTTAAACTATTAAAAAACTAAATCAGTGACAGCAAGAACTGATAGCAGATGCTGGAGTCAGAGACACAGCAGGCCAGGCAGCATCAGAGGAGCAGGAAAGTTGATGTTTCGGGTTGAGACCCTTCAGAAAACTTAAATCAGCTATTATTGCAAACGATACCAAAGAAAATCTGACTCCGTTTTTAAATATTAATTACTCCTGACCCCTCTGTTCTTGAAATCTTTACTTTATAAATGTCGAGTCTCATTCATTCACTCGTAATTAAAGTGTTTAAAAATTTATGTAACTATACTTTGGATTTAAAATTTTCCCTCCATCCCCATGCACTTCTATCTTTGTCTTGCTTTCTGTATAATGCTTTACATATCTTTACAGCTTGCCATATGTTTCTTTCTTTGCTGCCAGTGAGGATTTGGGTCATTTGTGGACCAGTTATAACCTGTAAAACAAAATGGTTCATATAAAGTTTCTCCCATTCAGTGCTTCCCATACATATTCCATCTTGATACCATTTCCAAACTTAGTGTGTGGGGTTGGGTGGAAAGCTGAAAGAGCTGTGATTGGGAATGTGGGTGGCCCATGAGGTGGTTGGGAAAGGGAGACATGTGAATATTGGGTTGGCTGTTTTAGCTGCAGGGCTTTTATACAAGTAAAAGTCTACCTTTTTCAATGGCTTCCCTGGATCAGGAGATGACCCTCAAACCTCAATCATTTAGGCCATGTTCGTTCTGGGGGAAAAATTACAGTTGGAGCTCTGCAGCAGATATTGCTGCCTTAACTCTCCACCCCTAATCTTGTGTCTCAACGTAGCTTAGGAATTTGTCCTCTAGTTATGAGTAGAATTTAGGGCAGATCGGAGTTGTGATTAATTATTTACAAAGTGCTTGAGCAATTGCATTGTGAGTGTTCAACAGGCTTAACATTAAAGTTACTGTTGTATTTTTCTGTCTCCTTGTGCATTCACTCTTCACTCTTTCACCCTCGTGTGTGTGTGTGTGTGTGTGTGTGTGTGTATACACATGGCATTTAGGGATCCTGAAGACCAAGGAAAAAACTTAGATTTGATATCTGTATTTAAATCTCTTGCTGAGAATTTTCTGTTGGTGGTGATCTCTTGTTCTTGAATCTGTTACTGATTAGCAATGCCTGGTAGTATTTTCAGTGCTGAAACATATGGATAGTAATTGAAGTATTCAAGTATCAAAGCAGTCATATATGTATCCAATTCACTCCAAAAATTAAGCTACTTGAGTACTTGAATAAAACTACAGCTTGATCTCTCTAACTTTCACTTGTAGCTGAAATATTCTGTACTTTCTCAGTTTGGTTCTCTATTAAATGTTTCAGTTGTGACATTGTCAGTTGATGTATTTAAATTAGTTTCTACTTACCTTGCAGGCTTTTTAAGTGCCTGTAGAATACAAATCTATAGCTAATAGGTGCTTTACCATAGGTTCGTGGGGCAATGTTACTGCAATGCTACTTTGTAATTTCCTCTTATGAGGATATACTGAATTTCGTGCCACCTTTCTCTAAATTTATCTAACTTACATTTGAATTTTATTAAAGCTGAGCAGTTGCTGTGCTGAAGTGGTAGTGGGGAACATGAAGGGATATTTTTGTGACACCATGTCATATTCTGTTGTTGGAAATTGCCCAAAAACATTGTCAGTTGTCTGTATATTAGAGTTCATTGTAAATTAAATCATGCAAGAAACTGTCAGGAAACTGTATTGGTTTGTTGTCTTTTCTTTTGAATTTGCGACTATTAAAAACTCTTGTGCTGGAAATATGATGGAAGCCCAATGGTTTGTGTCGTGTGTGTGTGTTTATGTCAATGATGTGAATTCTCCTTTGTAATAGGTGGTACCGTGTTGTGGAAGATGATAACCTACCCCCCAACTCGTAGAGCACTGATAGTTGGATGTGGATTGCAACTCATTCAGCAACTTTCTGGCATCAACACAGTCATGTATGTACCCAATTCACTCCAAAAATTAAGCTACCAGAATTGAGTTGATTTTTAAAAAAATCTTGCTTACTCTCTACAATGCTACAAAGAATATTCTGAATTTGGCATTAAAACTTTCTTGTGCCTAGTAAGGAACTTTTTTTAGTGTGCTGTGAGTAATCAGACTCAAAGAAAAAAATGCTGGGGACTAAATTGAAGTTGAAACAAAATAGAGACGTAGGATTCACAAAGTGAACCTATGCATTTTGATTATCATTAAAGGAGCTTTGCTGCTTGCTATTTCAATTATTTTAGAACCCAGCTAGCACCAATTCCATTGTGAAATTTCTAAACACATCCGTTGGGGATGAATATCCTAAATGGCTAGCACTGCTTGTGGCCAAGTACTTGCACCTCTTCTGGAAAATGTGAATTGTTGCAACTGCTCCTTTTTGAACACTGCACTGGAAGCCTTGGTATGAAAAATGGAAAGTAGGAAAGATGTTTTGTAGGAGAGAGAGATTTCTGCAGGGAGTAAGCAGACCTTCCAGACACATGCCTAAGAGTCAGTGGAAATGCATAACTATGGAGGTCAATGCTGGAAACCAAGCCTCAAGGACCTTAGTACAATGATGTCAATAACCTCACCTCAATTCAGCAGAAGCCCCTCGATCCCCATCACTCATCCACCAACACGTTTGATCAATTGGGTTTTTTTTTATTATTCATTATGGAACGTATGATTGACTGGCAAGGTCAGCAATTGCAGCCAATCCCGAATTGCCTTGAAGTGAGTGGCCTAGGAAAGAAAAGGTTGAACCACAATGTTTCAGGTCTGGAGTCACGTACAAGCCAGATGGGGTAAGAATGGCAGATTTTCTTCTCTAAAGGATATTAGTGAACTAGATATGTTTTTCAGACAATCATCAACAGCTTATGGCCATCTTTATTGATAGTAACTTTTTAATTCCAGATATGCAATTTGAAGTACATTTAAAATCCACCAGCTACCATGATGGGATTTGAACCCTATCCCCAGAGCATAAGCCTCGGTCACCAGATCACTAATCCATTGATTTTTGCCACTGCCTCCCATTCCTGTCAATTCACATGATCCTACAACTTTCACACCTGCATCATCTACTTGTGTGCACACTGCCAGCTGAATAGCGATTACAATGTCTCAATACATCTCACAGCAAATTGACAGACTTCTAAACCATGTTTTCTCTCGTAGGAGGTGACAGCATATAAAATTACACCCTGGTCCAAACCAGAGGTGTGCAGATGCAGCCAATCTTGTACCTAGTGCAGCTTTTCTAATTCCACCTATCTTAATGTATGAACTATAAATGATATAAACATGCAGCTCATACTTTTGCTCTCCACCCAACCAAATCCACAACCTCTCTTCATATACTAAGGACCAACAACCTGGCTTTGCAATGATAAACTGCAAGAAGACAATGATAGAGACAGATTTTAATTATAATTCTCACTCACGCTGTCAGCTTAGATCCTGACTCTGCAGTTGAGTGGCAGGATCAGACCACTCATGCTAATGTCACACCATGTGCTGAAGACTGAGCAGATGGCAAAGGTGGTATAAGCAAATAGTCATAGAACCCTGACAGAGTGGAAACAGGCCACCTGGCCCAACAAGTCCACACCAACCCTCCAAAGAGCATCCAACACCAACCATCCCAAAGTCCCATTTCCCATGGTTAATCCACCTGACCTACACACTATGGGAAGTTTAGCATGGCCAATCCACCTAACCCGCACATCTTTGGACTGTGGGAGGAAACAGGAGCACGTGGAGGAAACACGCACAGACACTGGGAGAATGTGCAAACTCCACACAGATGGTCGCCCAAGGCTGAAATTGAACCTGGGTCCCTGGCACTGCGAGGCAGCAGTGCTAACCACTGAGTCACCGTGCCACGCCTGTTGCTGAATGTCTGCTCGGTATGTTAAGTTGAGGTGTTCGCTGGTGAATTGAGCTTCAGATTGCACTCCTGCAACCATTTGTGACACATTGCCAGTTGGGGATATAAAAATTAGGAACGTGAGTAGATCCAACAAATTTATTTTGGATTCATGCTTAGAAGAAGTCTAACTAATGCCAAATGAAGATCGAATGTTGGGAAGGCCAATGCAACACAAGACTAAATTCATTGATCTAGGAAAAGTTAATGACTAAAGAGGGAACCTTGAGATTACTTGAATTCATGGAGTCCCTAATAGGTTGGTACAGCTATTACAGGATATATGAAAGGAGTTCCATGCAAGAGCAAGGTACAGTGTTAGGGAATAGAGTTTAGACATCAAAATTTGGGTTGTGCCAAAGATGGGCATTGATGCTGTTAATTGTCATGCATGTTTGAATTGAGCAAGTGAATCAGGAAGTGCCGTTTCCTAATATTTGCATCCAACATTGAGCTACATGGTGGATAAATGTGAAGATGACCAAGTATCTCGAGAACAGGAGGAAAAAAAAGTGAAAAACTGGATATTTCAATGGATGAAAGACCTAGGTTATGAACTGTCTGTTTGAGCTAGAGTAAATGATTGGTATGAAGGTGTAGAGATTTTGGGTAAAGATCTAGATAACGTGAGTAAGACCATAAGACACCAGGAGCAGAAATTAGGCCATTCGGCCCACCGAGTCTGCTCCGCCATTCAATCATAGCTGATAAGTTCCTCAACCCCATTCTCCTGCTTTCTCCCCATAACCCTTGATCCCCTGGATAATCAAGAACCTATCTATCTCAGTCTTAAATGTACTCAATGACCTGGTCTCTACGATCTTCTGTGGCAGTGAATTCCATAGATTCACCACTCTCTGGCTGAAGAAGTTTCTCCTTATCTCTGTTCTAAAAGGCCTTCCTTTTACTCTAAAGCCCTCTAGGACCCTCGGGTCCTCCAATGGAAGCATCTTCCCAACGTCCACTTTGTCCAGGCCATTCAGTATTCTGAAAGTTTCAATTAGATCCCCCCTCACTCTTCGCATTGGTGTTTAGTATAGTCCCAGAGTCCTCAAATGTTCCTCGTATGTTAAGCTTTCCATTCCTGGGACCATTCTCGTGAACCTCCTCTGAACCTGATCCAGGGCCAGTACATCCTTCCTGAGATATGGGGCCCAAAACGGCGCTCAATACTCCAAATGTGGCCTGACCAGAGCCTTATAAAGCCTCAGTAGTACATCCCTGCTTTTATATTCAAGCCCTCTCAAAATAAATGCATTGAGAAAATAGTCCATGATTTTATTCTTCTTACCAAAGTGCATGACCTCACACTTGCCCACGTTGTACTCCATCTGCCACTTCTTTGCCCACTCTCCTAACCTTCTACAGTCCTTCTAAAGCCTCGCCACCTCCTCAATACTACCTGTCCTTCCACCTATCTTTGTATCATCTGCAAACTTAGCCAGAATTCCCACAGTTCCTTCATCTAGATCATTAATATACAAAGTGAAAAGTTGTGGTCCCAGCACTGACCCTTGCGGAACACCTCTTGTCACGGCTGCCATCCTGAGAAAAACTCCTTTATCCCTACTCTCTGCTTTCTGCCAGACTGCTCATCTTCTATCCATGCTAGCACCTTGCCTCTAACACTATGGGCCCTTATCTTACTCAGCCTCCTGTGTGGCACCTTATCAAAGGCCTTTTTGAAGTCCAGGTAGATAACATCCATTGGTCTTTGCTATCCTTGGACTACCCTGCTCGTTACTTCCTCAAAGAATTCTAGCAGATTTGTCAGGCATGACCTCCCCTTGATGAAACCACACAGACTTTACCCTATTTCACTATACACTTCCAAATATTCAGCAATCTCATCCTTTACAATGGACTCCAAAATCTTATTCACGACTGAGGTTAGGTTAATCGACTTGTAATTTTCCATCTTTTGCCTTACTCCCTTTTTAAAAAGGGGTGTCACGTTAGTGATCTTCCAGTCCTCTGGGACCCTCCCTGACTCTAGTGATTCCTGAAAGATCACCACTAACGCTTCCACTATCTCTTCAGCTATCTCCTTTAGAACTCTGGGGTGTAGTCCATCTGATCCAGATGATTTGTCCACCTTCAGGCCAATCAGTTTTACTAGAACCTTTTCCTTGGTGATGGCCACCATACTCAGCTCTGCCCCCTGACTCTCTCGAATTTTTGGGATATTACTCGTGTCATCCATCATGAAGACTGATGCGAAGTAATTATTCAGTTCCTCAGCCATTTCCTTGTTCCCCTCCACCGTCATTTTCCAGTGGTCCAATGTCCACTTTTGCCTCTCTTTTGCCCTTTATATACGTAAAGAAACTCTTACAGTCTTCACTTTATATTACTGGCTAGCTTACCCTCATATTTAATCTTCTGAGTAGCTGGGTTCAATGGCAGCAGATGGTGGAAGTTTGGGAATTGAAATTGAAACAGCAGTGAGCTTTGCTGAAAATGGAAGAAATGCACTGAAGAATTGTTTGATACTTTCAGTTTCAGCAAAACTTTACTATCTGCAAGACCATTGTGAGACTAGCTTTGTTAGATGACCTGAGGTACATAAAGAGATGATGATTGGATACTAATGAAATTTGGGATTTATTTTTTTTAAAAATGCATTGGGGGTCAGTGCATATTATTGAAGGAAATAGCTGAGATGAGATTGAAATGATATGATTTATCTTTTGCAGAGAGAGAACATGTGATGAGGCTGGTGATAGAGATTGGACTGCCAGGGTGATGAGGGAGGCCCAAGACTGGACAGAAAGATGGGTGGCAAGGAACCTGAATGTAGAAGGATTGGAAGAGGAATAATTGACAAACCAGAGGAAATCAATAAGGGTGATCAATCAGCACTGAGGTTACCTAAGTAAACTGGGAGAAGCAGAAAGACTATAAGAATTGACTATTTGGGCCCTTAAGCCGCCATCACCATTTAATACAATTGGAGCTGTTTTTCTGCCTCAAATCTGCTTTTGTTCCATGCATCTCTGATTCTATGAAGGACTAAATACCTATTACTTTGCA